CCCCCCTCCCAGTCCTCAGATAGTTGAGTACCACATTTTTAAAGCATGCCAGTTTTCTGCATCTATAAATGTATAAATATTATTACGTGAGCTGTGTATTGTGAAGGACATTCTTTGCAATATAGAACATAATGTTTGCAAGCAAGAAATAATTCATGTCTTAATTATAGAGGGTGAAGGACACCATGAAGAGTATCTTCCATCAAGCACACCAACAGTACGATAAAAAGAGCCGGCTTATGGCAGCAGAGACTCTTTTGTTAGCCGATTGCTCTTTGGAGGACCTTAAAAGCATTTCAGCGGGTTTAGTGCTGTTGGACATGGAATCTTCCAAGTTACTGATATCCAAGCTGCACAACAGGCTGACCCTCCACCACCCATTAAAGTAATGATTTCATTTTAAAATGGAATATGCTTTGGAATATATGAATATTTATGAAGAAATGTTTAATAAAAGTATGTGGATTGGCCTGAGACAAATTATTTTGTGGCCTAAAAGAATTCATGATATAAATCCATTTTAGAAAGCAGAAATATAAGCTTTACAGGACATTTAGAGTCAGGTTTATCTACTTTAAGACTTCGCATTGCTTACAATGTTTTTATGTTTTTGTTCTGCGTGAAATTCAGCAAGACCCTTAGTAAGGGTGTATTTTACCGTAATTATTGGGATTTGTCGAAAGCTGGAAGATCAACTGTGTTTTCTGGATTATTGACTGGTAAGTTCATGAATAAATTTACTGAAAATCTTAAAGAGTGTTGTGGCATATAACAGGTGACTAATGAGGTTATTATGGAATTGTTGATATTATATTTAGTATTGTTGGTACTGCAAAAAGGATATTGCCCACAGAGAACTGCTAAATGTGCCTGAATATGTGGATGTTTTGCAATTCTGCAGGAACAAGATATCTTAAATTCCTAGGTATGGGCACCTGCCAAAGCCATTACTTGGGAATATGACGCTTCCTGCTTATTTTACTATTTAATTTTATGATAGAAGGAATAAAACGTAATGGTGAGGGTAGAACTGGGAACCCTACACTGGGGAAATCTTTCTGATTGAATCCCTGTGTCACGCAGCCTATTTGAAATATCAGTTTTGGGTTGTCTTTTCCATTCACTTGAGCCATGACTTCTCCTGATTGCAAATTACATATATGTCTATGTGAAACTTTTGGATTTTCCTGTTATGATCTCTTAATACATGCACCATATAGAAAAAGACTTCCGGTAGCTTTTCTAACTTTGCATTTACAGAATAGACAGAATATCTACACCTACATTTGTCATTATAATTTAGTAATGAACACTGTAAATGAAATGAATGAACTAATGAACATACCTGTTTCGACCTGTATGTGATATATGTATGTGATATAGGACAATCAGTGAGGTTGTAAGGTTAGTGCTTAGGATGTGAGCTTCTCTTCAGAGATTTCTCATATTTAGCCATCATATGCAGAACAGAAGTTAGAAGTAATTATATATGTGAATGCCTCATCTAATGCCTGTGCTCCTCCTCCGTCTGTGAAACCAAGCAAAGGATTGAGATCTCAGTCAAAGTACTGAAAGCAAAGATGGGGAAAAGCAGAGCATTATCATTCATGTGCACAATTCCTAAATATAAAAGCTGACATGTGTGATATGAGTAAATGTCTGAAGCTGACGGGCTTAAAAAAAACTCACAGTGGAGGTTTGACAAAATTGTCATCATTAACAGTTTTCTTTTTTCTTCGGTATGAGATGAATCAGGAAAGTAATGATATATAAGCAGCAGATGTATCTTGGGGTACAGTTAAAATCCCAGAAGGAAAGTAGCACTCTTCCATCTGAACAATGCCCAATAATGCAGTTACTATCAATCTGCATCAAGTATGAGGAACATAAAGTGATAGATAATTCATTTAAACTCCCAGATATTCTGCACTAGCAACATATGCAGCCTGCAAACACAGGAGATTCAAAAAGTTACTGAAAAAACACTGACTTCGCATTGTCTTTTGATGATATGCAACAACTTTAAGCTTTCTTTTGTGGTGACACTAAACCTTAAAAATGCATTAAAGTACCCTAACTATTAGCAAAAATGTATCTTATGTGTTTATCACTCGGCTGTAGATCCTCAAATCATTTCTGAACTGGTGCCAACACTGTCCTTCCTTCTGGAGGGTGGCAACTTTTGTTCCCCGTGGTCCCTGTGTGTGTTGTAACGTAGCCATTGCTCCAAGCTCACTCCTGTGATGGACTACAAGTTTACTAATTTGTATTGAGATTGTAGTCCATCATGGGAGTAAGCTTCGAGTGGTGGCTACTTAACAACACACACAGGGACCATGGGGAACAAAAGTAGCAACCCTCCAGAAGGAAGGACAGTGTCAGCACAAATTCAGAGATGATTTGAGGATCTACAGCCGAGTAATACACAAAAAAGAGAGATTTTTGTTAATAGTTAAGGTACTTGAATGCATTTTTAAGATTTAACGTCTGAGTTTAGTGTCACTTAAATTTCACTGCAAGACACACAGCCTGTGCATTAGACACCACTTTAAGTTTAAAAATTCTCCAAAAAAAAATACTTTACTTACATCCTATCTTTTGGGTTCAGGCGTGGGCAAGGTACATATCTTTTTTCATCTTCTGATTGGTTTTTCAGTGTTTTTATTGGGGCTGGGGGTTAGATCATATTATTGATACCAGGAAAAAAAACAGGTGGTTGAAGATGAATGGGACCAGGAATGCAACTTCAGTACTGAAATTCCAAAAGTGCATCTAAACCCAAAAACAAATTAATTTTTATATATTGTAGCTTCCCAATCCTTAAATGTGGTGACTGCAGTGGTTATTTTTTTTAGTCTTTGTCTCCTTAATTTTTAACCGCTGATCCGGCCAGTAACACACATCCTGTCTTAGGTAGGCTCCACTCTATGGGGGAGCAATGGGGCCACCTAAGGACAGCAGCATTGTCAACTTGTGGAGAGGACAGAATTAGTGTTTCTCCCTTTTGGCATAAAGGTTTTACATAAATGAATAAAGGCCAACCATTGCATGCACCCCTGTCAGTGTTAAATGGTGTATCTCGACCCTCTATTTGCCACATTTGCTGGGCAGCTTGGTCTTGTACGGGTAGATGAAAAATAACAGACCTATGGCTGGTTCACCAGGTAAAAATAAAGGAAAAGGAAACCTAATGCAGCTAGCAGGATAAAGATTGGTAAGCTGCAGTATATTATATTTTGGATTTAGATACACTTTAATAGATATCTCCCAGTACTTTCCACCTATGCTCTTCTTTATTTCACTTCCATTCAAATTGTAAACTGCTTTTGGCAGTAATTCAGACTTGCTAAAAGCAGAATTGTTCTGTAGCAAGGCTGCTGAAAAGAGAACATACAGTAGCTACTTTATAATAAGACTCTCTATTTGAATTCACTAAATGTGACTTAACAAGTACTGATAATGCACACTTCGATTGCCTTATCATCAGCAGAGCATTGCTGGGAAATCTCATCTGTAATCTCATGAGATCTCAGGGAAAGGCATTTTTCTCCTCTGAGATGATGTGCATGATCACATGTCCTGGTCACATGTCTAGTCACATATGCCAGAAATCCAGGAATTAAAATAGCTAGTAATCTTCCCTTGGTAAACACAGGAGAAGAAAAGAGAAATAAGGTATGCAAAGAATACAGAGCCAGCAATTATCTAGAAGTATGTGTTTATAGATTGTCATTACTAAACGTTTGTAAAGGTTTGTTTGTTGTTTTTTTCAAAGATATGGGTAAAAGGATCACTTTAATGAAACACGGCTTATGAGTAAATACATTCTGCTATAATATAAACTGAAGCCATCGTGAAATCTTTTTTTTATTATACTTATCTCTTGGCAGATTTTCTCATGAATGTATTAAAGGCTTCAGAGAGTAGCCTGACAAATGGCAATAGGGGGAATTGATCAAAACTGGAGCACATGGTATGTTCCAGAAAAGCCCAGTCAGAGGCCATATGGAATTCCTTCCAGTGACCCTAAAAACCTTCCATTGTGGAACAGTATCTCCTTCATACATGTCTTTAATAAACTTAAAATTCAATTATATTAAATTTTGACATATACAGTATTTGTATTCATTTTTTTCAGCTACAGATGAGATGGCATCCACATATGGTCTGGACCTTCTGTTCACCGAGTCTGGGCTACTGAAAAGAAGTGTATCTGAAATCACATTATTTGACCGCAACCATCATCTCAAGACACTGCAGGTTCAATTTAAAACTGTATACAGTATATGATAAGATGATATGAAGGCTACAAAAAGACAGAGATCCCCTTTGCCTCCCACCCCCACCCCATGCCTGCCTGAAGCAACTCAATGATTTCTGTATTCAGCTAAGCTGTGATAGCATAATTCATTGCAGTATCTAAGCATTCTACATTTCTGCTTTGGACTGACATCATCATGATGGTGTGCTTGAAATTCCACAAATTACTTTTAGTTCCAGTCTGGCACATCATGAGCCGTGGCCAAAAGCAGTGTTCCCCTCTACTCTCATCCCTGCAGTTCTTACACCCGAGTGTAACATTTTACAAGACCAACTGAATAACTTTTACATTTTGATTATTTTTTGACACTTAGATCAGGATGTCAAAGTTGGACTGTTTGCATAACAGTTTAAAATGGATTACTAGAATAAGCAGAAATCCACAACTGCCACTTCCCCAAGTGTATAGCAATACAAATTTGTAGGCGGGGTTCACTCTTGGGGTGTTGCGTGTGTGTTCCTTTTGGGTTGGCTCTGTGTAACCCCGTGTATGCAACATGACACCAGGCACCTCACGGTCAGGGGCCTCGGCTCTGGCCTCGTGCAAACAACTCCCACACGTGTAGTACTGCGCACACAGGGCCTCATGGCTTCCACCGCCTCTGCGGTATTCGGCGCTTCCTCCACTGTAGGGAGAAAGGCTACCATGAACGGCACCCTATGTCGGGCATAGCCTCATTTGCACACCTACCCTCCTCAGACAGGTTACAGCCACGATACAGTCCCACATCACACTCCTGTAGAACCCCACCTTCTCAGAGGTTGGAGGGAGAAGAACCAGTCCACACAGATAGTCTTTTCTTGATTTTACTTGAAAGAATGAACATGGTATGGAGCATACATTTCAGCCACCCCCGGGTGGGATGACGGCACATTTCTTGATAGTTGCATAGCGATACAAACTAGAGAGAGAGACGAACACCCCAGGTGCAGCCCAGAGTCCACGACTCACTTCGGCCAAGGCCCACTGGCAAATATCGTCAGTCTTACAGCTTCCCACTATGCTCTGGGAAACTGGGGAATCTCTATAGCTCTACATAGTCCTAGGCCTGGTCCTGTCCTTCCCATGGACCAGCCTGTGTTTTAGAATCAGTCTCCCTCCGGAGACTTCAGCTCTCCTGTACTGTTCTCTGCTTTCCCCTCTCGGGCGCCCCCTATAAATCAGCTCTCCTGGAACACAGAGTCTCCCCAGGCCAGAGCTGTATCTATCTCCAGGGCCCCATGGGGCATCTAGTGGCCGTTGGCCGTACTGCACCTACCTACATTCCCCCACAGTTAAATATAGTACACTCCTGTACTAGCTACATGGACTACTGACATAGACGATACCTTCTACCAAGGTATCTCAACAGGTTCTACTCTGTATCTGCAAGGGCCTAACCCCTGCCTCCTAACTAGGCTTCTAACACAAATCCTACCCCCTCCCAGGGCTGGGCTGCACCGTCACCAACAGGGCATTAACTTTTTATATAATACACATTAGTCACATTATACAATGCACATTAGGGTAAAACCACCATCCCACATTCCTTGTACAGGAATAAGATACTCTCTGCATTTTTAAAATATCAAATTTCTCACATAAAACAGCATAACGAATTGCACGGTTAGTCAGAGACCTTCCTTAATCATACACGTGAGACACTCTGTATGTATATGTACACTAGCCAATATCTTACTCGGTATGCATTAAAACATTTGAAACACTCAGTGCAATATAGTTTTCAAACATATATACTGGAACATCATAGCATAGTAATCTTCACCCTTCCCATAGGGCAGGAACATCCGGCCTCCTAAAGTTCGCAGTAGTACGGGTCGGGGTACCGCTTCACCTGCCCCGTACTGGGATCCCTCTCCGTGGCGGACTTAACCAACTCCGAAGCCCCAGGTTTGGACAAAACGATTCTGTCCTTGTACACGACGGCCATAGTGGAATTCCTCAAACACCACTCCAAAACGGGCCTGGTATGGATTGTCCTCGGTCAGGCGACGTTGTGGTTTGGGGACCCCGATATGCTCACAGACGGCCTGCTGATAGATATACTGTCTCTGTTCCTCTAAGTGATCAAACAGTTCCTCCGTAACGTAAGGAAAGTCCCACCCGTATTCTAGGGCCACGAACTTGTTGAAGTACCGCTGTAAGCGGGACAAACGGGGAAGTTCTTTCTCCAACCCCTTTCCTCGGGGCAAACAAGCATTCACGGACCTCTTCGCCCGGGCCAGACCCCATTCCTGGGCCACTAACCTGTCGGGTGGTGCCCCAGGCGCGCCCGGCTCACTCGGCTGCTCGACCTCTCCTCCCAATTTGGCGGAGCTCCTCCCGGCTGGCAGAGCCTCTTTAACGCTCGGGATTCCTCCGGAAGACCCTTCCAACGGGACCGCGGGCAGGTTTGGCTCCGAGCCAGCCACGAACATCCACCGCTCCTCTAGAGGTGGATCAGGCGACAACGCCAAGGACTGCAAACTTGTCCACAGCTCCCCAGCTCGTCCCATTCGAAGATCAGATGGCCATAGATTACTGCTGGATGCTGCAGAAGAACTGTGTGGGGTGGACCCCGTAGATAAACGAATCACGAAATATTCCAGTCGTGCTGGCGGGACCCTGTGGGGCAACTCTACCCGGTTTGGCTTAGGGGAGACCTCCCACGACCCTCCATACTTCGGTACTGGAGGGCAGGATACGACCGCTTTCTCATCTCCTCTTGCGAGATTATTACGCCCGTCCTAGTGTTCCAATGTGAATTCCTGCGGATTCCACCACTCTGCGCTGGCTTGTAATAACAGAGTGCGACACTCCGGACACCGACTCCAGGGGGACAGATCTGGAGACAGCCTGTGACATGCAGGACACACCGCCCATAACGCTCCTTCCTCTCTCTGAAGGCAATATGCCAACCCTCCGACAGGGTAAAATCGGAGCCCAGTGTCGAACACCGCCTCAGCTCCTTCCTCGTGGTCTTTCACAGCAGACGCCATCTTTTTCTCACGTGCTCTGGCTCACCCTCGCGCTCTCTCTCTAATTAAGCTCCATCTTCTGGGTGGGCTCTGGTCCTTCGCACCCTTTCCAACCAATGAGTTCCTTGATCCTGCCGACTACGCCAATTAGAATCAGTCTCCCTCCGGAGACTCTGCATACAGTCTTAGACTTATGCTCTCCTGTACTGTTCTCTGCTTTCCCCTCTCGGGCGCCCCCTATAAATCAGCTCTCCTGGGACACAGAATCTCCCCAGGCCAGAGCTGCATCTATCTAGTGGCCGTTGGCCGTACTGCACCTACCTACAAATTGGTCCAATCTCTCTGCAGCTCCTTAGTTTTACTGGGATCACAAGCTCCAGTTTCATTTTTCACATACAGCACTATCTACTGGTTAAACGTGATATTATACCGCAACCATTTTTCAAAAAATGAATTGCTGGACTTCACTGAGCAATGCCGCCTATGGCAGGTTTGTTGTTACTATAGAATTAGTGCTTAGAACCAGTTTGGAGGGTTGTGGTTGAACAAGAGGTTAATCAGTGCTAAAATAAATACAGATATTATAGGGGGACACATGTGAACTACTTTCTGTTGATAAGAAAACAAATTTATCACAACATATCACTATTCTCAGATTATAGATGTGCGTTTCGCAAGACAGGAGGAAATTATACTACAATGACCACACATTGATATAGTTTAATATCCCAACCAGCTGAATATTATGATTTGTGGCAGAATTTGATTTAAAATTATGAAGGTATTTATTTATGCTTTTCACATGCAGGTCACAATTGAAGCCCAAGGATTGGAATCTCTAATGGGCAATGATGAATTAGATGAAGAAGGCGAGGATGCGTCGGTTGGAATGTCAGCGGTCTTGTTTGGTGTTCAGCTCCGACCAGTGGTATTTTTCCAAGGATACATGAATTTAATGTCTAAAGTGCTTTCAAGCAGCGGAGAACCTACCAGTGTGGTGAAAGGGAATGTTCTGCTGGTTGATTATCTGCAGGTACATTTTCATATATTATTAGATGATTGATACATCTGTCCTATCAATGTGCCTGTCTGTGCAAGGAACGCTTGAATCTATGTACATAGAGATGTTAAACACTGGACATGCTCACTAGTCTAACAAACTATTCCCATGATATTATTTGGCTATACAATTGTATAGAAACATCAGATAAATGAAAAAAAGATTTCACAAAGTGGCCAAATTTAACAAGAGGAAGAAAATGGACAGTATATATGTTTAAAATGTACGTAAATACAAAACGTTTTTCTATTTTGGATAGGTGGGGAAGGTTTAGACCCTCTGCCAAAACGTGTGTGGTATCTGCCCTTGCTGGGGAGATATCGTCTCTGTGTGGCCAGGTGACCATTGTCAACGAGACACAAAGTAATGAGAAATTAAACATTTTAGAGTTATGAGAACAACATCATTGGAAATCTTCCAATGGGGACAAATGTTTTGATGAGAACTATCTAAGGTGGGAATTGCCTTCACTTTGGGGTCATTTCATCTCACCTCCTGTTGGATCTTCGGGATAGGAAGTGAAGGGAAATGTGAGTTTTAACCCTTCCCCACTGTATCCAAAACTTTAGGAAAAGGTTTTAAAAGTCTACACTTTAGAAATTGTGTCTATACATAACTTTAAGCCAGTAAACAACATATGTACATAGAGACAGGCAACTGATGACCAGTGTTGTTGCCAAGACTATCAAATTTTTATTTATTTTCTCATTATATTCACAATTTATTCCTTCATTCATAAGTTTTAGCAAGTAATCAATATTTTATGTTTTTATAGTTTCCCATAGAGAACACATAAATACTGTATTTCACACAGAAGTTTCCCTTCCTACACCTCTACCAAATAACAAATGGGCAGACTTTTGCCACAAGCAGTAATCTGTAGCAGCCTGCTCAGAATCCATCTCTCAGTGACATTTCCTCACTGCTGGAAGGTGAAATCTGAAATATGCTTTCTCTTGGTTTCTGTCCCATGTACATCACTGTTGCACCTTGCAAAGCCTTAATAAAGTGTATCTAAGGCTAAAAGTTATATTTATATGTTAGATAAAGTAGGAAATGGTTACAATCCCTGCCACTGTGTCCCATTGGGGAGATTTACCTTCAGTTTGTGTCCTGTACAAACAACAATAAATATGAGAAAATCTCTTAAACGTGTAAGAAATGGAAAGTTGTCAGCAAACCAAATGTCCCCTTTGGAAGATTTCCTCTCTAACCCTGTTCTGGTGACTAGTCAAAATTTTGACAAAACTCTTCATTCTAGATGATAAATCACCATGACAAATTTTAAACATGTCCCTACTATTTTGCAAAACTACAAAAAAAAATACTTTATTTAAAATAATTTTTTGGGGAAAACAAAATTCTGTAACGTGTTACAAAAACCATTGTGTAATTTATTGTTATATAAAAAATACCTTTCAATTTCAATCTGCAGCTTCAGTTTTCTAAAACTGTAAAAAAAATCCAACTGTCACTTTCTAACAATATTACAGCTTGGAGGCATTCTGTGCACGTTTGTTTTTGTTTTTGGTTTTTGTTCTTGTTCCCAAAAATATAATGTCCTGCTTGTGAGATTGGCTCAATGCTTTTCTAAGAAGTCTGCAATGAGAATATAAATCACATATTAGGCACCCTTTCTATAGGAGTCTCATGTTTTAATGTATTACAGGTATTTATATAGCGTCAACAGTTTTTACAAATCGCTTTACATAGTGCACATTCCCATCAGTCCATTTGTGGGGAGATATTCCCTAAAGCAGGGGTTTCAAACCTCCGGCCCTCCAGCCGTGGTGGAACTACAAGTCCCATGAGGCATTGCAAGATTCTCACAGCCACAGACATGACTCCCGAAGAGAGATGCATCATGGGATTTGTAGTTTCACCACAGCTGGAGGGCCGGAGGTTTGAGACCCCTGCCGTAAAGGAATGCAGACACTGCCTTCCTTGTAACCAAGTATAAGGCCAGCTCCCTCATGTGTTACTTATGAACTACAACTTAATTAGTTCCAGGTTCTGCCCAGCTGCAAATGGTCCAAAGACCATAGCTTACAACTACCAATCATTCAGAGGCCTAGTTTTGAAGGCAAGCTCTAAACACCCCCCATCCCCCACCCCAAAGGCAGCAACTGCAGTCTATATGCTCGTTTTCCTTTGGTTCCACAATCTTTGGAGAACTCTTGCCCCTCTACAGCCAAGCTTAGTCTATGAGTGTAATCTTCAGCTCTCACTTTTCCTATGAAAAGGTCAGAACTGAAACCCCACAGATTCCTTGCATCTCTCTTCAGTTTCCCAGCCCACAAGGAAGGAATGTCCAGTTTAGTTTTACTAAAACAACTTAATGTTCAATCTAAATAATATTCAATTTACAGGAGGAATAAATAGATGTTTTTTTACCAAATAAATAGCACAAGATTCAGGGGTTGCATTTAAGACTTCATTTGGTGTAATTGTACCGATTCATGCCCATGTGAAGGTAAAGTATCTTCCTGGCTTGCCTTTCTCCAACTACACAAAGTGCCTCCTCCCAATGGGGTACTCACAAGTTGTGGAACAGAACAATTCATGGTTCACTGTGACAGGAGAAACCCATGTTTTGTGGGTCACTCTCCTTTCCACTCCCCCCTAATCTCCCACCCACCTTCCATTATACAACCCAACACAAAGGAATAATTCAAGAGAATGATAGTGCCACAAATAAATAGTTGGTCCAGTTGAATTATTAATCTTGATAAAAGGTTAATAAGTAATACCCAAAGCATTTGAGGGGCTCACAACTTCACCTTTCTCAGGGATTTAACTGGTGCTGATTGATGGGAATACTGGACATTATGAGCAAAGAATTCAGGGTTAGAATGACAGTGTGGGTGCCATACTGATGGGGGACAGTCATTGACAGTAACGTTGCCTAGAACCTAATTGGTGAGACAGAGCCTAAATCCCAGTTACAGGCTAATTAGAATATTGATATTTGCTCAGGTGTTTATAATGAAGACTGGTCATCTTATTCAGAAATCTATCTACCTGAGAGAATACATGGTGAAGTCCACAGCTATTTTTGTTTCACTTTAAACAAACCTGATTTATCTTGAGTGCTATGCAATGTAAAATCTATTATAGCATTATGGTTCAGAACATTTTCATAAGCTATCTCAAATTGCTTTCTGGCATTGAGGTCTGAAATACATTTAGATTATACAGGTTTAATTTGGGCATTATGTTTCCCTGTTTTCCAGTGGTTGCCAATGCAGTCTGGGCTACAGGTCATTGTCCAGTATCAGGTTGGACTTGGTTTAGATATCTCGGCCAACATAGATGTCAGCATCTGGGACCAGCAGTCAAAGACAAACCTCAACACCAAGTAAGATTTCAGCTTCTAAATATTTCTATTTTCTGGTTAAACATTGGCAAAAAAGTTATGTAAATGTGTAAACCTGATGACAATCACTGTATGTTTTATTGGGGACATATTTTTTCAGAGGATCTGCCGGTCTTACAGTCTGTACAAATGAAGAATGTTTATATTTATTTGAAGACTTTATATACCTACATTCACTGTTTATGTTAGGACCTATTTTAATGTGTGACATTTTCTGAATTATAAACATAACAGAAGCAGGTAGCAATGAGGCAGGGAGCTATGGGTGCTGGTGGTGGTGGTGGGGGGTG